GAAAAGCAAGTCTATACCCTTGATTAACAAGAGGACATGTTTTTAATAAGAGGCTTGCACCCAAGTGCATAACTGGAATACGCAAAGACGACTTCTGCACCATAGGGTTTCTTCGTTGCTTTTTGTCCTCTTTAACTTGCCAGTAGTTTCCCCTTTTGTGTAATTCCTTTAATGACAGAGGCTTCCAGAGTAATTGTTTTATCACAGAGATCTGTTGTTCTGGGTGCTGTGTCGACTAAAGATGTTTTGGGGAAACAGCCAAGCAACACATCTGAAGGTCATCCTCGGAAAGATACTCAGCAGCTGTCGCATAAAGTATATGGGCAATGTTTGCTCAAGACAGGTGATGAATGTCCAGCTGTGCTGATTGTGTCAATGTCTTTAGTTGGCATTAACGTTCCATTTTTTGGCACAAAAAGATGGTTTTTAATGAGGGAAGGCAATGTTTTTAACTTAAGGGCTCTTGAATTACTGTCCCTCAAGCCCTGTCTCAGCTACTTAAGAATACAAAAATTTAAAAAAAGCAAACACAATAAGGAATAACAGGAAGCCCATGAATCTGATGTACTTGATGAAATGTGTAACTGTGTCCAGTGTTACCGTCTTCCAAAAACATCCATTTCTAAGCCTTACTCTTTCGTCTTGGCTTTAGGCAGGTGTCTCACTTTCTGCCGGGCTCACGAACTAGAATTCATGGTGTACTTGAACCCTGTCGCCCTGCTGCCTCCTGTCAGGATGCTCTCCTCAACTAGGAGGACCCCATGCCAATCACATGTTCTTTTGTAGCGTTGGATCTCTTTGACCTCTCAGTTTTATGAACTCGTGTTGTAAAGAAACCTCAGACACAAACAAAGCAAACCTCAAAGGGCATGAAGACTGTTTGAAATTGTGTGGACTGGTAAGCATTTTCGAATATAGGTCTCCTGATTTCCTGGAGCAGCCGTCTACCAAACGGATGCCTGTTGATCAGCAAAGCAAAGAAAAGGAATAGTAGGGAAGGTGAAAGAGTTTGCCCCTGATTGGATATCAGGTTGTGTGCGCCCCTAGTGGTGAAGATCTAACATCTCTGCTCAGGCACGAGACTTGTAGTATTGGATGAACTTGAATGCAATTGCATTCTCCCGATGCCTTTTCCTGGGTTCATGTGAGTGTGTTTTGTGTTGGTTGTGTGCAGCAGTGATTGGTTTCCTGGTAAGAATGCTCACAGACTGTTTTTAATGTATTTATTATGACCCAATGCGGGTGAAGAAGTAAATGTGGAGAAGCCATGTATTAACACAATTATGCTGCATAAAAAATGATTCAAATTCAATACTTAGCATCCCAGCTTTGATCTGGGTCCTTGATGATGATGATAATAATCACTTTTGATCTGAAAGCTTTATGTAGATCTTTGTATGCATTTTTTAGAATGTGTGGTCTGTTTCTGTTATGTTTATTATATTATTATGATGGTGATTATTTCAGTTTGACAGAGATAAAATTTGTTTTCATTGATAAATTTGTTTGCGTATAAAACTGTGAAGTTTACTGTTATTCTGCTATGGGTGAATCTGTAGGGTAGTTTTGCATGATAACCTTTTATGTTGTTCAGTTGTTGTTTTTTTCTGTTTTTGCCCCACCTGCCAGCCCCGCTCTGTCTCACTCTCAGGGTTCATACAAAAGGCTTTCTCAAATCATAATTTTTCTTGCAACAAAAATTTATCTTCACCTATGATTTCTAAATATGTTGAATCGTCAATCACTACTTTTTTAGCACTTGACTGTGAATACAAATCAATAGGGTGGAGTTATCAAATCCACATTCCACTCATGGGTTTTCTTAAAAATGTTTTCCTTTTTCCGTTTTTTTTTTTTTTTTTTTAATCCTCCGTATCTTTGGAAAGACCTATCACTGTTTGACATGCTGACTGATGTAAAAGGGAGCTTTGTGTCGCTGCTACATCCCCCAAAATAATTCTACTGGACTTGAATGGAACCAGAATCACCAGAACGTTTTTGGTACACTACTCTTCTTCTTCGAATGAGTGCTTCAGAATCAGAAATGTAAGCTGTTCTGTATCAAAACTATTCAAGCAATAAAGATATATTAAAGGAAAGGTGTGGCAGCATTTTTTTCTTCTTTCCTCCCAAAGGCAATCTGCCATTTTAATGCACAAGTTTGTGTTCTGCAGTCTGCAATTATAATGGGCTTGGTAATGTTTTTGACAAGCAGTGAAGGTCTATAAATTTTTATCAACTGATGTTGACACTAGGTGTGTCCAAAGTCACATACTGTCTGTGTAGGTATTACATTTGATGAGGAACGAACTTCCATTGAATACACACTTCAGAATCCCTGTAAAAGTAGTAGTTCATTTGGGTGTTTTATAAATACTGTGAATTCGGATATTTCAGTTGTACTGTTTTTCACATACTGTATAGTAGAGGGGTAGGCATATTCAGACACAAGCTGATTTCGGAACTGCATAATACACAATTTTACCATATCTTTCTATGGCTGAAATGGTTTGAGTAGTATGCGAGTATGTGTTTTTTATATTAGGACTGTTCCCAGATATTTTGTGTGATGTTGAATCCACACCAACAGTCAGCTTGGGGGTTAAGGATTGGTTGGTTGCTTTAGTGTTTCGCCCCTGCTGGAAGATGCTGTAACTGCACCATTATGTACATAACCCTGAATTAGACATAAAAACAGGCAGACAATTTAGAAAAAAAGTTTCAAAATAATAGCTTCTTCAGACTAAACATTTAAGCCATTTAATTTACATCTATTATGAAATGTCATGTATGCAAGAAATAAAATGATTACAAAAACTTTGGTGGTTGAAGTAACAACATAATATTGGCGAAATTAGTTGGTGGACGTATATTTGCATGGCTTCTAAGCAGATCAAGGATCTGCAGATTTTACATTTTCCACACTGACTTTAGGGGGGAAAATCTGTGGAATGGATTCAATCAAAACCGTAACGTATTAAAATGCAGCGGGGAGCTTAAATATTTAAAGGTGCAATAGGTGATTGTCTTCAGAAACATTCAACAGCATTGTTATGCTGGTTGAAAGTCTCTTCACATCCCGATAGCAATCATTAAGTTAAGTGGTCTAAATGTATTTATCTGTATTTATATATTCTGTGGAAGGCGTAGGACCAAATGTTCGTCCAATCAAAACGCTCGGTCCGAGCGTTTTAATTGGCTTTCCTACCTGCCTGTCAACATATGTATTTGCATACCTCTGCGCAGATAAGATACGTCATCAGTGCGTTCACGCACGCTGTGCAGACAAACATCAACAACCCGATCTTCCTTCCTGGTATTGTAGTACTTTTACTAACTGTACTACAAAGTTTTCTCACCGGTGAATGACACATGATGTAGCCCAGCGGTTCCCAATTCCAGTCCTCGCGCAAGGGAAGCAGGGTGAAATCCACTGAAGTTTACTTCACTTCGGAACATTCATTCACGGATTTGCGCTGCGCAGCGTCTTCACACACAGACGAAACTTACTAGAGAAGTGTGAAGTGTGACATAATATACCTCTGTAAATAAATACTATTTAAATTCACGTCTCGCACACTTTAATGCCCTTTGTATGGAACATATACGCTCGCTTCGAACTGGAATCATGGCGGAATATCCGGTGATGTACACTTCCCAGGGCACTCACGGTCGAATAGAACAAACGTCGCACGTGATAAGAGATACATATGAAATCTGCAGAGCAGGAGGGCGCGAGGATTGGAATTGGGAACCGCTGATGTAGCCTATTGTAATGTTGTCTCTGGTGTTCTGGTCTGTGAGCGTAAATGCATTCAGAGGGCGTGGCTTTGGATGGCGATTGCAGGGAGGGTGGGACGTTCGCTTTCATACCTGCCTGTCAACATATGCATACATCTGCGCACTCTGTTCGCGAAGACAGGATACGTCATCAGTGCGTTCACGCACACTGTGCAGACCGAGCGAGAATGGCAGACAAACATCAACAACCCGATCTTCCTTCCTGGTATTGTAGTACTTTTACTAACTGTACTACAAAGTTTTCTCACCGGTGAATGACACATGATGTAGCCCAGCGGTTCCCAATTCCAGTCCTCGCGCAAGGGAAGCAGGGGAAATTTGCATTGCGCAGCATCTTCACACAGACGAAACTTACTAGAGAAGTGTGACATAATATACCTTTGTAATTAAATACTATTTAAATTCAGGTCTCGCACACTTTAATGCCCTTTGTATGGAACATATACACTCGCTTCGAACTGGAATCATGGCGGAATATCCGGTGATGTACACTTCACAGGGCACTTACGGTCGAATAGAACAAACGTCGCACGTGATAAGAGATACATATGAAATGTGCAGAGCGGGGGGCGCGAAGACTGGAATTGGGAACCGCTGATGTAGCCTATTGTAATGTTGTCTCTGGTATTCTGGTCTGTGAGCGTAAATGCATTCAGGGGGCGTGGCTTTGGACGGCGATTGCAGGGAGGGTGGGACATTTGCTTTCAGTGCTATCAGGCTAAAGTTAGCATTTTCCAAGATCTCCTACTGCACCTTTAACTGATGAAAATGCACAGGGCTGGGAATGTGTAGGATGACAAGCACACAAATTCAGTGTGGGCCTGTTTGTAACAATTATACAGGAACATTACGATTTCCTACTATATCAGGTTTATTCAATTGTCCTCCAAGTGTTTAACTCCGATGCAAACACTCCTGAAGAAGACACTCAAGGTCTTCAGGATTACTTGAAAATTACAGGCAGGTGAGTTTGATCAGGGTTGGAACTGAAGTCTGCAGCACAGTTGATCTCCCGGAGCATAATGAAAGGAATGTCCTTTCTGCATGTTCATTCTGCAACATTTAGCCAGTCTGAGGGCAACAAAATCTTAAACATGTAGGTCATGTTTGAGGCCTACAGAATGGATAAAGTTCTTCACACTGGATAGTTCTGATCAGGAGCACTGATAGGTACCGTTTTCTTTAAAAAAAACAAAAAAAAAACACCTAAAGCACAGGTGTTATGTAGCCGTGGTGTGGATTTTTGTTGATCAAAGTTCTTTGTATCAATATCGCCTTTCCAATTAAGGAGGCTGGAGTCTTCACGGATGGAAACCAGCTTCTGGAGTAAGTGTAGAATGCAATTCTACTTAAAAATTTTTTTTTGGCTTGAGTAAACTAGGTGATGCTGCAGATTCTTCAATGCGCTCTGATGTTTGGCAGACTGTTGGTGAGAAACCCTCGTTTCCATCCACATTCATTTTTCATCTTTAAAAGTCACAGATGATATCGGACTGGAAGGAGCTGAAGTGACTGTAACAGTCTTCACGTCATCCATTAAAGCAAAGCAGTTTTCTTCAGATTTCACTTGACATTCTGCAAAAACATACCACTGTAGTTATATTGCAAGAAGCAATAATTAATTTGACGTGTTCTGTATGTGTTATTGTCAGTGAAGGTGAAGATTTCCACATGCAATTTAATTTTTGTTTTTTATTTTTTCATATTGTGAACGTGAGTGCAAATTGTCACATACAAGTTAAATACAAAAAGCAGTCATTGCAATTGGTTATGCATCAACCCTGTTACCATCATCACTCACCCCTGTTACCATACTATAATACTATTTTTTTAAAATCGGATAAAAAAAGGATAAAACTACTTTATCCTTTCAGGAAGTGAACTCTCCAAATACAAATATTCTTCATCGTTAAAAAAGTCAACCCTGTTACCAGGATTTTGTATAGTACACAAATGATATTTGAAAAGTGGATATTCTTTGCATGATGTAGCATTTATTTCCAAAGGACAAAGGACTAAAAAACTTTACTGAAATGAAGCAATAGATCATGCAGAGTAATGTCAGTCCTGTTTATAGACATAAATACAAAAAGACTATTCTTGTACCCAATAAATACAACAATAACATGTTTATATGGAAATATAAAGGCTGAAAAGAGTGACTTTTCTTGCAATACACAGAAGTTTGTGCCATCTTTACGATGACACATTTCTTTGGTTTTGAAGGAGAAGCTGGTAGCTACATTCTCCCTCACCTATTCAAGATGTAAGAAAAGGCTTCAAAATACACATTATATCTTTTTGAACATTTAACACAAATAACCTCAGTCATACCTACCGTATTCATCACCAGACTCTGGTTCTTGCTTAACTTCTACAGTTGTGTTAGATGGGCCTACGCCAACAGTGACCTTCACAACTTCCTTTGATACGGGTAAATCTTTTCCCTCTGTAAAACATTCATCTTGAATTAGACAGAAAACAGAAAGTCGAATGGATGGAACTTTCATATCTGGATGAACTATCCCATACCTGCATGCATTACACGCAGGTGTTTTTTCATGGATGATGAATGAGCGAAGAATTTGAGACATATGGGGCACTGATACGGCTTCTCCCCCGTGTGACTTCGCAGATGTACAGACAAATGCGCAAACTGCCGATAGCTCTTCTTGCACTGAGGGCACTGGTACGGCTTTTCTCCGGTGTGAACCCTCTGATGAACTACCAAATCTTTAGCTTGGCCAAAACTCTTCCCACATTCAGGGCACTCGAATTTGGGTTTATTCTCTTTGGTGTGAGTGCGCAGGTGGACCTTCAGGTGTCCCGCCTGACTGAAAATCTTATCGCACTGAGGGCACTCGTGCTTTTCTTCAGTGTGTGTCCGTCGGTGCAGAACCAGACTGCTGGGTTGACTGAAGCTTCGCTCACACTGCGAGCACTGAAAGAGTTCGTCGCCCCGGTCGTAATGATGGCGGCGCTGGTGACGCGCGAGGTCGGAAAGTTTGACGAATCCTCTCCCGCACTCAGAGCATTTGTGCGGTCGCTCTCCTTCGTGAACATACCGCACATGTTTCCTGAGGCCAGCTGCTTGAGTAAATGTCTTCAAACACAAACTGCATGTATGTGAGACCCCTGAAATGATCGATATAATATAAAATATTAATTATAAATATGAATTAATAATTTAATGATTAAATCAAATACAAAATTATATAAAATAATATATTTAATATAAAATAATATATATTTTTATGAAATTAAATAAATACGACCACTGATACCACATATGTGACCCTGGAGCACAAAACCAGTCTTAAGTTAAGCAATAGCCAACAATACAGTGTATGGGTCAAAATTATCCATTTTTTTAAGACTGGTTTTGTGCTCCATGGTCACATATTGTCAAAAAAATTATTTTGAAATTGCTTGTGATGGAACACATTAAGGAAACCCTAAATGGAAATACATGAATTATAGTCTGCATTTTATTTTCTTATTTTCTTTTAACGTTGATCAAATCAAAGAGAAACCAATTATCTACTAAAGAAAACGGTTACTTCAATCAAAAATGTATCATCAGGCATTCATTCTATTTTTTTCTGGCCTCAACTTGACAGAAAAAAATAAAATAAAATAATCAAATCAAAGAGAAACCAATTATCTACTAAAGAAAACGGTTACTTCAATCAAAAATGTATCATCAGGCATTCATTCTATTTTTTTCTGGCCTCAACTTGACAGGAAAAAAAAAATAATAATAATAATAATAATAAATAAATAAAAAAATTTAAAAAAAATATATACATACATAATTTGTAATGAAATACAAATCATTAAAATGTGAAAACAACGCTTTTTCATGGTATACATGCTTCAGATACCTACCCATCTCATAATTTCTTACCTGAATGAAACGCATCTTGATGTTTTTTCAGACTTGCTTCAGAAACAAATGTTTCATCACACATTGAACACTGGAGAGGGTTTTCGCCCGGGTGGCCGCTCTGGTGGGCTATCAGGTTTCTCCTCCAGCAAAAACCCAGGCCACACTGAGAGCACTTGTAAGGTCTCTCTCCTGTGTGAATCCGCTGGTGAATTTTTAACATACATTGTTGACTGAATCTCTTCCCACAGTGAACGCATTCAAATGGCTTCTCCTGCAAGTCGACTTTCGGACCACCTGTAGGTTTCTCTGTTCCACTTTGCTTCTTTGTGGAAACGTCTGGAAATCAAAGAGAAAATAATCTGTAAAATTAAATTGTTAATCATTAAAAAGAAAGATAAGTAAACTTACTCTCATGGATGCGCATATGAGCTCTGAGGAAACTGGGACGCCCAAACCCCTTGAAGCATACAGGGCAGTTGTGTGGCCTCACTCCTGTGTGAATTTCCAGATGTTTCTTCAAGTCTCCTGGGGTATAAAAGCTTTTACTGCACACAAAGCACAGGAACGACCTCTCTCCTGTGTGCGTTTTAATATGTACAACTAGAGCCGATCGCTGACGAAAGCTTTTGTTACAGGTGGGACAGTTGAAGGGCCTTTCACCTGTGTGAATTCGCTCGTGCTGTAACAAGCCTTGGCGTCGACCAAACTTCCTCCCGCAATAAGAGCAGGGGAAGCACTTCCCCTCTTTGTCGACATGCTGATCTGTTAAAATTACAAAGAAGAATCCATATTAACAAAACCACTATCAAATAAAAGTTAAATGAACATAACTGAAACTCCAGGTTATGCATCAACCCTGTTACCATCATCACCAACCCCTGTTACAATACTGTAGTATTACAGAAAACAATTCTGTTTCCTCATCGATTATAAAAAATAAAAAAAATCAACCCTGTTACCAGGATTTTGTATAGTAAACAAATTACTTTACTGAAAAGAGGATATTGTTAGAAATATCGGCATTACATGCTCTTTCTAATAAACACTTTTAGTGCCAAGACTAAGAAATGGCTATCCATCATATCTCACCCCGTTACAATATTGTAGTATTGAAAAAATTCTGTAAAACTACTTTATCCTTTCAGGAAGTGAATTTTCCAAAGACAAATGTTCTTCAATTATTAAAAAGTGAACCCTGTTATGAGGAATTTGTATAGTAAACAAATGATTATTGAAAAGTGAATATTCGTAGAAATACCATCATTAAATCCTCTTTCTAATAAACATTTTTAGTGTCAAGACAAAGAAATGGCTGTCAGTCCTGTTACCATCATCACTCACCCCCGTTACCATACTGTAGTATTACAGAAAAACAGTTCAGTAAAACTATCCTTTCAGAAAGCGTACTCTCCAAAGACAAATATTCTTCATCAATTATTAAAAGGTCAACCCTGTTACCAGGACTTTGTATAGTAACCAAGTGACTGAAAAGTGAATATTGGTAGATGAAAAGTGGATATTGGTAGAAAAGACTAAGAAATGGCTGTCTGTCCTATTACCATCAGCACCTCACCCCTGTTACAATAGTGTAGTATTTTACAAAACAATTCTGTACAAATACTTTATCTTTTCAGGAGCTGAACTCTCCAAAGACAATTATCTTTGCCTATTTATCATCAAATTATTAAAATGTCAACCCTGTTAATAGTTATTTTAGTAATGAAATGACTATGACTCTGTATTGTAGAAATATCAGCATATACCCTGTTACCCACTGGGTAATTGTTTTTGAAAAGACATCAAAATTGACGCCAAAAAACAGGTCAAATAGACAAATGAAACTGACGTCAAAAACTTGACATGATGTTGATTTGATGTAAATTGAATGTCAAACATATTGGCCTACATATACATTAAACCAATTTCAGTGTGGGATTAACTTCTTATTTTCACTAAATTACCACTGTAAGGAATTGCAGTCCAAACTGAATTCAAAATGATGTAACGGCATTTTGATCAAGTCTTGACTAATATTTGATGTCAAATTGATATCAAGGTTCCCACTGGGTACCGTCCCAACATTAAATTTTGTTAACCAAACTGTTTCTGGTCCCCATTGACTTCCATAGTATGGAGGAAAAAAATACTATGGAAGTCAGAGGGGACCAGCAACAGTTTGGTTACCCACATTCTTCAAAATAACTTCTTTTGTGTTCAGCAGAAGAATGAAATTTGCACAGGTTTGGAACAACATGAGGGTGAACTCTAAGGTGGAACAATACAATTGTATATATTCATTTAAGAAAATAAATACCAATATTGCAATTAGTGCATGCAGTTCCATCCTACCTGGATGAAATATAAGTTGATGTCTTTTCAGGGAAATTGCGAGAGAGAAGGTTTTGTTGCATATGACACAATGATATGGCTTTTGATGATCTGTCAGCTCTGAACTGGAACTCTGATCAGCATCAAGGTCAAGATTCACTGATGGACTGAATCTTGTCTCAGTCTCTGATAGACGCTCCCCTGTGCTCATTTCTGAAAACATATTAAGACGATATTAAGCAACTTAGGCTTGTTATAGACATGCTACATGCATTTATGCAATATTTAGACATAAGTGACTATGTGTCTACATAACCTAACCCTAAATAAACAACTAGAGATCATACTGTCTTCAGAAGCTCCAAGGCTTCCAGAAAACACTGCTGATAGCTGCGATGAAGCAGAAACACCGCAGGCTCCTTCCACGTCATCTAGCTCACCCTGGTCCTCCTCCTCCTCAGGAGTAAGCACATCAGCTCCGGCGGTCACAGCATCACCTTCCTGCAGCTTGTTCAGATGGGACTGCATGTGTGCTTGCAGGCTGCTGGGCCGAGGGAAGCTTTTGGAGCACAAAGGACAACTGTGGGGTCTCACTCCAGTGTGAGTTCCCATGTGTGTCTTCAGATCTCCTGAACCATAAAACCGTCGGAAGCATATGAAACATTCGAAAGGCTTTTCTCCGGTGTGAATTTTCCGATGCACGATCAACACCGAACGCTGCCTGAAGCAGCATACTTTGTAGCTGTGTTTTAGTCTGCACAAGGTGTTTATTTTGCATTTGAACTGTGCAGCTTGGACACAACATCCGTCAAAAATAGACTAAGCACCTATCTTTAGCCTTCTGGGACGCTTCTGAAACAAGGTATAAACACAAGCATTGACTAGAGTGCAGTGTAAATAAGGGGTGAAAATCCTTAATCCTTTATCACAGATGACTGGAAAAGTTAAGAGGCCTTTGAATATTGTTGTGCCTTGGAGTCAAAAAGGTTGAGAAATGGAGTAAAAATATTTCTGACCCCTTGTTCACACTGCACACGTCTGCAGCGCTTTAGCGTTTTTTTCCGTCCTCCATGCGGTGCCAACTCACACCAGGAGCGTTTCAGAAGCGAAGCAACTGGATTCACGAGGCCACAAGATTTGCCTGTCTGACGGTTTTCGTGAATTTCTGTGTTTTTTCTTAATTTTTGAGGTTCTACACTGGTTAAGTAGGCTAAATGGTTATGTTTTGTTCGGTTTAATCGTGTTTATTGTTGTGTTTATTGCTGTGTCCTCCTTTGTTGTGCTGTAGCATACTTTGTAGCTGTGTTTTAGTCTGCACAAGGTGTTTATTTTGCATTTGAACTGTGCAGCTTGGACACAACATCCGTCAAAAATAGACTAAGCACCTATCTTTAGCCTTCTGGGACGCTTCTGAAAC